ATCTGCGTTTTCAAAAATACCCGGGTACGTGTGGACGTAGCCTTAGACTGCCCACAATAAAAGGCGACTCTGAAATATGCAGTTTGATCACACAGCACAATGCTACAGAGCTACACCTTCCTAACATACTAAGCTATGCTAGCATGCACTTAACATCAGTCTGCTCTTTTCTTAACTAGCTTAGCATAGACATGATCAGAGTGATAATCTAAGAATAAAAATGTCTCCACACTGTAAATATCGGTCTCGGGGTCTGTTCTGAGAATAATGCCATGGACTCTTTGAACTACAGTGTCTCACTGCTCCTTCTGTCTCATTTTCAGGACTGAATCTGGACGCCCAAGGGGTTTAGTGTAGAGTGCATTGCCAGAAACAAAACTGTTGGCTGCAGCATCCAATGCTCTGAGGATGAACTGAGGATTTGGACACACATTCATGCATGGACACTCACACACATATATACAGCATCGCCTGCCTATCTCACAGGGGGTGGAACCAATGGCTGAGTTAGCATTAGTTCGATAGATGAGTAGATTGCAACGCAGAGATGGGAGAGAAAGACGTGTTTCCATAGCAACAGACAACCTACACTGGACCTTCACTATGAATCAGCCTTCTGAAGCATTTACTTATATAAGCCTTCCCCCACACCTCATTCCCCAACACTCTAAGGTGGGCATCTGATTGGCTAGCTGACTCAGGTGTGCTTGCTCCTCTATTGTTGGGAGACAGCAGCTTTTCAAAACATTTAGCCTCACATCTGAAAGATAGTGCTTCGAGCTTTACCTGGTGAGAAACTTGATGCGTACTATCACCAGCTGATCAAAACAGTTTCCTGTCTAACAAGAAAAAACAGCTAAAACTCTGCTTTGAATTTACCCATAATGCAATAGTAATGTGCCATTCGCTAAACCTTCCACGAAAATGACGATGAATCATTCATCTGTGTGTGTTTTTGATTTCTGTATCCATTTATTTATTAAATTACAAACTGATCACAGCCCCTGATCACCGACTACTTTCTCTGTTGTATTAGAGACTTCTGCTTCCCGGGTATCAAACTGACCATCACCTCTTTGTGAAAGTTTACCAACGTATAAGAGACAGACGTGTCCCAATTCAGCGGCTAAATCCTTCAAATGATACTGTATACAGAGGATGCAGTCTCCATAGATCAGAAATGGTGAACCAAAGAAAGGTTTCCTATTGCATCGTTTAAAAGTTGTGAAAGGTCGGACAATCGCACTGCTCATGCTGTGAAACTCGTTATAGCTTGTTATAGCTTATACTGTAAAACGTTGAAAATTAGCTCAATATTAAATATTAAAATACAGTCATATGCCAAAGATATAATGTGAATCTAAAAACATCAGGTATAACAGCAAAACCATAACGTGTAGTCATTTTCTTTAAACTAGACAACACTATTGCAAAGCAGGGAAATTTCACCGATTTTCAGCTGC